AGGACAGATGTCAGCAGAGATTAGTGCATGTAGCTTGTTCCCTGTAAAATCTCACTTTTTGTCTCCATCATGAAATCCCATGGATGTCATTTTGAAAAAAAATCAACACACACGGAACTCCTCTGTCTTGTGCATGCAGCAATTAACCGGCAATTAATTGTTGTTTCGTCATATTTTCGCTTTCCTGACTGGCATTTTTGATGTCTGGATTGTGGCAGGGTTGGTAGGAATGCAGTGCCTACGGTATATATTCTGGTGTGGAGATGGCCTAATGGCTTAGCTGTGGTAGTTTTCTTTCTTGAACATAGTTGATTCTAAACCAAGCACAAATTTATCTGCTGAAGCCACCGAAGAAATAGATGAATTGAAGGTAGGATTCTTTTGTTAATTTTTTTCGGCATTTTAAGGCTCCAAGTACAAATCCACACAGTTTTATATGACATATTTGCAATAACTTCCTTCTATTATTGATTAATTCTACCATGGTTTTGGTGGTTATTACGACATCTGTTTTAGATATCTGTTTTCCATGACGTGTACATTAGTATGCAAGGAAGTAGATAAAATTGAATTAACTTAGAACCAGTTCACGAAATAGACTCGCTTACTTAAATGAATACAAGTTTTAGCCTCGCTTATTAAGAAAGATGTAAGTTTGCACAGCCAATGCGGTAAAAGTGATTATTGACGGATGCAAAAATATTGGTTAATCTAGTCAACAACACAGAGGCAATCAGAAAAAAAGCATAGTGAAAAAGGATACGTCACTTGACCACAAGCATCGCAAACTTAAAAATTGCGTTTGTTCTGTTGAGAGGTCGAAGGTAGGAAGCTAAGTTAATTTAAATGTGCCGAAATTCGTATTTGATCGCACACGCAATTTAGGATACATTAAGGTAGAGAAGTCGGGATTCCTGACCACATAAACTAGTTCGATGTGAAACCCCAAAGTGGCTCATGTGGTTAATCGACCGATCTCACACCAGTCACTCTCGTCTGTGTTTATTTACACAGGTCTCATAACACTTTATTCAAGTTGAAAATAGGGTGTGTCAGGAATAAATGCAATCAAACAATACCTTTAAAATCACAGATAAGTGTCTCGATGTGTTAAGTTTCCCCTTAACCAATAAAAACACTCAGATAAACGGCAACTGATCACTTGTCTGACGCTAGAACCGGCCTTCTCACATTAATGTAAGATATGGCCAGAGCTCCTGCAGAGAGCTTGAATCGTCTCAGGCAAAAAGGAAGTGATCTGTCAGAAAGTGAACATCTACATAAGTCAAGGGTGACTTTGACCTGATGGATGAAAGCGGATTAACATAGATGCTATGGAACTGGCGTAAATAATGACGAAAAAACCGGTGATGAGCCAATTTGGGAATCCCGGATCCTCAAACACTATGCAAATCATTTCAGAGAGAAATTGAATGAGATCGGGTTGATCTTAAAATTGGTGTTTGGGCAAAGCACACCTCTGTTCTCAGCCACAGTGTAGGTGCTGAGAAAAAAGCAGTTAACAACAAACCTGTATTAATGCTTCTCAGTTTGCAAGCCTATTGAGCCAATTGTGCAAGGACGCTCGGTAAACTAGTAAATAGTGTTTGCGCTTGACTCGCGTAAGTAGAATCAGACAACAACAACGTGGAAGAAGGTTGTTTTTCGCTATAAACGAAAACTGCCTGAACTGGAGTCTCGAATGTTAAAAATACCTCGTCCATAGTCGCTTAGGAGACAGAAAAATGTAAGGTCATGGCTTCAACCCATATTCAGTGGGTCGTCAGCTAAGCGAATGTGTAGTAACTTGTCCGAACAAGTCACTTGGCATCGCTTACTATTGGTCTTTGCTAACACGTACTTCATAAACACGCTCACGCATTCACGCTTCTCGTGTAAACACACTGTTGTGCTCATTTCCAAGTGTCGTGTGGTGTTGGGTGCCAACAGACAGCAGGATTTTCAGCAGACTTGTTCGTACCGCCGCAGTAGAAGACCCTGAAATGATACGTGAAGTAGTTCCCACATCCCTCTCTGCGGTTTACCATGAAATTTCCTGTGGATGTGAACTCCATTTAGAAGCATTGAAAAGCTTTCACTACAGTCCCTCATGAATTCTCTTGCTGTTGCATGACTACTTCTAAATGTTGTAGATGAAGTACGTGAACTTATTGTCACATGTCTGTCCATTTGTTATCGTCTTCTGGTTCTCGTTTTAACATTACTTTGTAAGTTGCTCACGCGGTAAACCAGGAGCCAAGAGCGTCCACATCAGTGCGTTTGTTCCCCAAACTTGTTCTTTGCACATTGTATTAATTACTATTCCTTGTCTTATGATAACACGTATACATTTGTCAAAATCCCGAGCTAACTCTGCTGTGCTTTTGATGGAGTTTAAGATTAATAAATATGTATTTTTAACACCCTTCGATCTGATGCATCTGAAAGTCCGTATGAAGAGATTGGGACAACTGTTCTCACGCAAGCTGATAACTTGATCGAGGCTTGTTTGGTGGCATTACTTGCCGATACTGAAATAGGTGATGGGTCGCCAGCAAGCGGTCTGAGGAACATGCTTCGTTTTGGTGACAAATGACTAAGATAAGCCAAAGAGTTACGGTGTGATTACTAATCATGATTGTGGAAGAATGTTCTGACACGACCTGTGTCAGGTTTATGGACATATTTGTCCCTTCAACATAGTTTAAGCAAGGTGATCGTTTTGGTTCACCTCAGTCACAGTCTGGTGTCCAAAGTTTCACTGTAATTACCTCAATAAAAGGCAGTCTGAGGTTTAACACCAAACGTAGTGATGGCGCTGGTTGAAGACCAGCCCCTTTACTCAAATATGTCTATCGACGTTGAGGTGTGCCTAATGTGGCTGCTTAGGGCCTCATCAAACCTTACTACATCCATTCAATGGTCATATCATTGATGAATTTGATGTGGTGAATTAGCACTTGGTCAAGGACATGATCAGGAAATTGATTTCGAAATGGCCTAACCATCAGGACTTGGCTGGTGAGAGTGTTCAAGCAGATAAATAAGCTTGAGTGGTTGGATGTAGAGATTGAAGGTGAGTCGAAGAAATGTGTCTGGAGTAATTCACTTAGGATAATGTCCTTTCTGCCGATTTTTTCTTGTCACGTGTGGTCGAAACTCGAAACATATGGAACGGTTCTATTAACAGGGGATTTTGTAACGACGCCAGCATTTATCTTTAGTTCAAATCTACAGGTACCCAAACTCACACATTGTACCGTGGCTACAGGAGATGATTATGTGGATGGCTGTTCAATTAAACAAGCGATAACTACTGGAAATAACGGTGATAAGACCTTAGGCAGCAATGTTTCAAAAAATCGAAATGCATGCCTTTGATAACGAAAAGGAATGCAGACATTCAACACAATTTTGATCAATATATGAAAGCGAGAGTCCTAATCTAGTGAATGTTGTCCTAATCTGCTGTGTCAAATGTGATGTTTTCAAAAAACTTACAACTATGATTAGCAAAGCTGATTTATTAGCTGCCTAAACCATAAATCCTCAAGCATAAATTGACGGTCTTAGTCCTCAATTTCCTTAAATCTGGTGAAAGAGTTAGCCCTTCAGCTGAGGCAAGAAGGTGTGACAATTTGACCTCATTACGATTTGATTCACAACGAAAAAGCATGATAGGACATTGCTTATGTTCCTTAATGTACTGTCTACTTTCTGCTTTTACAATTGGCAATTTTTTTCAGATTTGTATGAGGATCAGGATTTGAAAATTGGACGAAAAGCAGTGCATAAAAACCAGGTGAGTAAATGTAACTCAAGCCACATCACAGTGGCTGCTACTAAACACAGTAATAGGTTTTGCTTGTGAAGGAAGCAAACAGTAGGCGGAACAAATCAAAATGCCATTAATGAGCTATTTCAGACGAACAAGTGCTGCCAATTACGTTTAATTCAATCACCTCCGATAAGCTACAACATTGTTTCACTAAAAGTGTTGTTCAGCGTTTTGATCGAAGCCCTAAAAATTGGAACGAGTAACAAAATGGGAAAAATATGAATAATTTTTTTCTGCTATTTACCCTGATTAGATCCCATGCAGCAATGCTTCCAAACGGCTAAATCCAAGCCTTCGTTGACGGAAATGAGTGTAGAAATTCAACCCACAATTGCATTAAATTTTCAAACATCCATGGTCCGATTCTAGAAAAATGCTTTTAGTCTAACTCCTCTATTCACATCGTGATGTTCCCAAAACATGCACAAACATGCATGTCGACAACTTGAGACTTTCGGTCCCCACTTTACTTAATCCAGTAGATAGATTAGATCCTTCCACTAGATCGACAGCTTTTAAAAATCTAGCTTCATCTCGATTGGATTCACAGGAAGAAACGTTGGTTATCTCCTCGAATGTACTGGCCGGGTCTAGTTATTGCCACTGGATATTCTTTATCAGGATCAGGATCGCGATAATAAGGCTGGACAGAAAAGCAGAACACACAAACCCTACGAATAAATTCAGATCGAACCGCACCACGCTATAGTGTATGCTGATGAAGGGAGCTAGCAGTACGTGCTGTAAAACGGGGAACATCTCAAAATGCCATTAACGAAGTCTTCCACCTGAACAAGTGTTACCACTCTAATTAGATTTAATCACCACAGTTACAAGACAATGCGCTTCAAGAAAATCGCTGCTGGCGTATGCCACGAACATCCGATTTCGCAAAAGGACGCGACAGCTAAATCAGCGATCAGAACACAACTGCCCGTTACAGCTCATGATAAGTGGGCAAGAGATGAAATCACTGTCTCTGCCATCGTTACATTACCAGTAAACTAAGATACGACGCAGACAAAGTCTAATCTCATTGCTTGTAGTCAAGTTTAAAAGCATCACAGACTGATAAAAAACATATATTTAGGGAAAAGAGGCAGTTACACGACATTCGTAAAAGGTGGTAACAGAGAAAATAATATTGTGGATCACAGATTATTTAAGCAGCTTCTCTCTGCTTTCGAGCGAGACGAAAGGCGCTGACAACAGCCACGATTTCGATGAGGCAGAGTAAGACCACAGAGATGCCGATAGCCCAGGTGTAACTCTTGAGTGCATCGTCGAGTGCTTGAGCACAGCCCTAAAGCGAAGTAAGAAGCACTTGTTTATTGAAAGACTAAATCTGGGCGTTTCACTGCTAAACACATCCAAACGCGATAACTATTTTGCACTAGATAAAATGTCACACGTAACTTAACCAGCAGACGGTTCAAGCATATTTAGCCAAAAACGTAGCAATCGCTCACAAACACAGACGTTAAAAACATTCAGGCACACCAATGTTACATGGTGGTTTTCAATTATATGTGGGTAATTTAGCTGTTAAACGAACATTCAGTCAAGCTATGGCTTATCCGTATGATTTGCATGGTGAACAAAGCCTGTGATGCTTTCTATATTGCAATCTGGATACTATTGCATATTCGAATGACATATAAAGGATGTACGAAACAGCGTAAAGTGCAACTACGAGCAGGAAGTGATTACTTACCCCCGGATGTGGGTTGCTGCATGCTGCTTTGCCATCTGGACAACAACTGGCCGGAGTGTTTCGCCAATCACTTGGTCCGATTCCACCGCAGCATTTCATCTGAAATGTGTGTCACACTTTTCAACATGTCTAGCTTACCTCTTCCTGCATCTTGTCCATGACTTTTTCAAATCCATCAGGTCCTGACGTTTCCAGCCTCTTGATTCGCTCTTGAATTGCTGTTCCGACGATGCTAACAAACTGAACACCAGGTCAACCACTCACATATTCCACGACGTACCTTTGTCTGACTGACAAGCACAAATATGGCGGCCGCTAATTCGATAACTAAGAGAATTGAGGCTCCAACGCCAAACTAAACATGAAAAGGCATTTCAAATGCAGCTTACCGAACGAAGCAGACATGTGCTCTGCTTGAGTGCTCCGAAGAAGCCGAGAAATCCGATAATAAGGACCAGAACACCCGCCACGACTACCAATATAAAAGAGCTGAATGGCAACAAGCCGGTCGTATCTTGAGATTTGACCAGTAAGTAAATCCCAACACCAGCAAATACACAACCAATAACCTAACGGCAGGAAGACAATTTGAAATTACGAGCTAGCACTTACAATGGTGATGATGCTGTAGACGACAAGTGAGATCCTGAGACAGACTGTGCTACAGGAGATGGCCATTGTTCCAGTAAAAGTTGAAAGAATCCACCGTAGTTATATTCTCTTCGGATATTACCTGTGCATTGTGATTGGTGGATCTAAGGCTTCTCAATGGAAAAACGCTGCGTGGTGAGGATTAACTCCCACGTAGACGCTCTTGTGGAATCAGATCCTCGTTAATTGGCATGTTTCATTTATCCACCTCGTGTAATTAACTGTGAAGGAAGTAAACAATTCAGGCGTCTACACAATGAAGCCCTTTTAGGTGGTAAACACTAGTGTGCCACCCCCGCTAAAACACGAGTGCAAGAGGCTGTTCGTTGCACTAGGCGATAATCACTGTGGGTAGTCGAGTGCATCAGTACCAAGTAGGACTCAATGTTTACTGAGTTATCCTGTTTCATGTGGTTAGATAGAGAGACCTGCAGTGAATTCTAAGCATTGTCAACAAAAGTTATATTAACTTGTGTTATGAATGAGAAGCTAAAATGACAAGCCTAGCATGCGGTGGTAGTAGAGGCAACGTGATTCATGGTATTGACTTGGAAATATTGTGATATTTTGACATCTGTACACTCATTCAGCATTTAATATCTAGTCGAATTGAAAAATGGCAATGTTGCTAGAGCAATGAGACACGAGCTAAGCATGATTGTTTGTAGAAAATCGTGTTGATTCACCTCCAATAACCCGGTCATCGCAGTCTCACACACACGTCCCTCATTTCAATGTGTGGCCGTCTGTCACGCGAGACCGCATGACACTTAAAGCTTCTGTACTTTTTGCGTCTTATTGGGCCTCAACATGTTCTCTTTACTGTACATGACGTCACGTTGGACTGGATCGTAGAGGGTGAGGCCACTGCAGCCATTTTTACATGCCTCGACGAAGTGGTGAGGAATGCTGAGTACTGAAGATGTGTTCATGACTGTCTTCCACGAATGTCCGCAAAACCTTGTGTGTACAGATTATACGTGGATGTGGCAGAGTTCATGGGAAAACTGTTGTACAACAAAACGGGCGGCATGTTATGAGGTGGAGCCAAATTCGAACTGTATTCGAAAGCGCAATCCGAAAAGTGTTAACTCGAGATGTTTCCGCGTATTGTGCAATTCCAGCACTCGTGACACACGTCAATCACGAAACGGACGTGGTCTCGTAATCGTCTCATATGTGTCTCCAGCAGAGCTGAAGATTCCATGAAATCATTTGTAATGTATTGATTGATCACGAACAACGAGTTCTTTAATTTTGCCTTCCGAATTGATTTCACACTGAGGAGGCAGATTCGGTTATTTTCGCACGTTTTGTTAGCTAAAAGGAATCACGAGAGACAAACAAAAGTATCAACACACAATAAAATAAAAATTACCACGGATTAGACCACTCGAAATGCATTTCTGTGGGAATCTACAAGTTGTTTTTAGTACACTGATTTTACAAACAGATTCCATTTATTCGGAAAAACAAAGTCACCTGCTGTTGTCGTGTATGAATGTAACGTTTGATGTATATTTTAGGTCGATGTGTTCTTAACGTGGTGTCAAGTTTACAAGGTTTGACGTGCCACTACGGCGACGTCTAATGAACTAAGACGCTCTTTACCAACGAATAAGAGACATCTTGAAAAAACGGATGAGTTTTCCCATGACGAACAAGTGACAGACTATTGTATTTGAATGGCGACTGCCTTTCCGACGTTTATGGAGTTCGGCGACAACTAGTCAACCTGCTTTCGCCTTGTTTCCAGTAAACTCATAGTTTTGAAAATGTTGCGGTATGCAATGCATACTTCGTTTAATTTCCAACCATTCAAGGCAAGTTACTATGACATTCGAGTTCAACTACGTATAATCTAACACAGCAATTCCAGCTGTTAAGAAATGATTGTGAAGATGCCACTCATCAGGTAGGAGTATAGTGCACATACTCGGTTTTTACGCATTATGGTCAGATGATGAGTAATTTTGTTTAAAGGTCTTCAAATAATTCGTTTGTGCTTCTACTCAATTATAGCGAGTAAAACTGCTTGTAAGCGCTTATTCCACCAACACCGTTGACGAATGCTTTTTCATAATCTGATTGACAATAAGCGTGACGTGTTAGGCCTATTACAGTTCATCAACCTCCAGACAGGTAATTTCTGTGCACGTAAAAGTTTGAAATGTACGCATAAACGTCGTAAGTGAAGGTTGGAACCAATACCGTCGCACACTTGTTGTGTACGCTGGACTAAATCACCTCACTCCAAACGCTAACTTCGTTTCCCTTAGCCGAATAGGTGTCCTGTCTAGACTAGTTTTAAAGTTTTAGGTAGAATGCCTTTCATTTCATCAGTGTCCGTAACAATTTTATAATCACCTCAAACCGGTAGACATGATAGGGGTGTATAAGGTTTTTTGTATACATCATAGAATAAACCATGTCTCATTGGTATACACTTATTCATAGATCCCTATGTCAATGACACTACCTATGTACAGAGCATCAATGCTTAAGAAAAGTTGAAAGGGACGTTACTCACCTCCACAGAAAAGTAAGATGACAGTGGTAAAATTTCTTAGCATCGAAATCAAATTCCCATTACTGATTTTAAGAGTTTTGAGACAACTTAAAATATGTATGCTATGCCAAGCACATTCAGGCTTTGTAATGACTATGATCATACATATTTGAACCATAATATATCAGCACTTTGAGATGCCCAATAATCGGAATGGAAGCAATAATATTGTAGTCCTAAGCACAAAATGGGAAACAGATGTTGAATTTGTTATTTGTATTTGCACTTCAGTATTTAAAATAATCTAACTTGAGTTTGAATAACCAATGTAGGCATTCTGCAACGTAGAAACAGGGGATGCGAAACCCCCAAATTTTGATTCTGATTGACGCCAAAACGTAGGATATGGTTACAAAATTACCTAATCCTAAATTCGTTATCAACTAATAGCTGTCCTCTCTATAGTAGTTTCAAATTTCAGGTGAAATGCCTTTCATTTCGTCAATGTCCAAAAAAATTGCCTAATCACAACGTTCTTGAGACAATGCTGGGACTCCTGGCTCGATTTCTCAAACCTCCTTTATCCGTACATTCACATAATCCTTGTTTATACTTGGGATTCTATACTACTAATGCTAGTTGTGCCACTGTTAAAAATCGGCAAAGACTTGGCTAATGGTCCAGCGATATTGAATTCTATGCATTCTCAACATAACACCAAGTTATCACGCTGCGGCGACGTATAATGAAGCAAGCCACTCTTCGCTAACGACGAAGAAACAACTTACGAAAATGCATGAGTTTTGTTTTCATGTCAAACAAACAGGCAATATATTCTAGTCGTGGATGATCTGCGATTCAAGAATTAAATTCTTTTGACTTAAAAAAGTGCAAAGTGCGTTATTTCCACCAAATACCACACACGCAGTATCTAAAGTAGGCCCTAAATCATAATCTAGTAATAAAATTTCAGTATATTGCATCAGAACTATGGAAAACGAAGAGATCTCCAATGCCTCAGAATCGACTTCAAGAACTGTCGTCTATTTTAAATAAGATGCATGTTGCTACGGGGTTTTTTTTAACAATTTCTATTCCCTCTTCAGTTTAATCATGTTTAAAAGTCATATCAGGATTCAGCCTTATTTACTAATCCTTGTGTGCTTGATTGTAGCAATTTATTTCCATGCACAGATGCAGCAGTGTGCAGAAGCCAGTGGTCTCATGCACGGTTGAAGGTTATGGGGCGTGAGGTCAAGCTGTCAGTCCAGACTCACCCAATGATGGTGAAGATGGTAATAATGGCATGTAGTGTGGACTGAAGTCGTGAGACGAAATCACCAGGATTAAATAGCCATTATTCACATGACGGTTGCCTACATCTCTTGATGATTTTTGAAGGGTGACATGTGATGTAATTACCAAGTACGCCCACTCCAGTGACTGCTGTATTCAAACGCACACACTTAGATTGGTGTACAATTAGCTGTGCATTATGAAATCAGCTTTGGCGACTGCAAAATCGGGCATTTTTATTTAAATCAACCCATTGTAATACCATCACGAACACATATGTCCACCCTAGACTATAATATTCTCACTCCATCAATCCGAAAACTAAAGAATAATTCGCACAGCCTTTCCTGAAACCCAATTTACTAAATTTTCAGACGCACTGACACTCGTTCTCTTAGCTTACCACTACGCGGTGGAGGTATAAGTTGAACATACCGCAGCAAAAGATGTCCCTTCAATAACTGCTCGTTCGTCAAGATTGAGAATTCTGGAGTCTAAGGACGTGATTAGAAACCCGACATCAACCTTCATTAATTAATAGGGGTCTTCGTGATGGGAATCCAAGCACGTTTAACATCATCTACAAAGGATCACGGCTTATTCATAGGAATCTAAAGGGTTGAATTTGATTGAATTGCTTGAGTTGGAACATTAAGAGCATTCTTTATGGGTATTCCCTCCGCTTGAGGTGGAAAGGTGGAATCGAAAGTTGCAGTGAAGCGACTACTTATGATCCGGTTTGAGATCATTTTATTTGGTATTCTGCCCATGTTGTTAATTCGGCAAAAGCATCTTTAAGTGGTACCTTGTGCACTATTTTTATCCGGTTGTAATCGTCAGCTCGTTCTGAGAACTGACACTTTAAATGAACAACTTTGCATTGAGCAAACCTCTATCACCTTCCTCTGTTTCGTCCACCTCAAAAGCGCTGTTATCGTACACAAGATTTTATCAGACCAAATGCCGTTCGTCACACACTTCAACCTTACTACCAGCAACACTTCAGAGTGCTCAGGCGAGAGGAAAATGTAGTCAGCGTCTAACACCATCGACATGATGTCGTTGGAAAACAGACACAGGGTAAGGACAAATTTTGCACCTTCTGGCAGTAAAGAGACAGTTACCACTACACGCTACGACAGACGCGTTAACTGGTCCAATCGTTGAGGATAAGACATTCGTAAATATCTTCAGACCTCGATCACGACTTTACTCCCATTCA